CCCACTTTATGTCGTGGACCTGGAAGTACAGACTGTTGCAGGTGCGGAACGTTCTTTTTCACACCACCCTTCCCTTGTTTTCTTCGCTGAACTTGCGCCACCCTTCCCTTGTTTTCTTCGCTGAACTTGCGTCCAAACCACGGTCAGTTCTTTTGTCTCAGCCGGTGTTTCATGGATTATCTTGCTTGGGGCGACCGTCTGACCACAGTCAATGGTGAAATAGGTGGCCTTTCTCGCTCATGGTTATTTCAAAGCCAGATTTCAAGATCATTTCTATTCATCAACCTTTTGCATGCCCCGGGCCGGCATGTCTTTCTGCTTCAGGACAGTTTTGATCATTTCTAACGGAGGAAGAACCGCCTCGTACAATGCAAGGTCTTATACAAACTGGACGCTATTGAAGGAAAAGGACTTGAGACAGGTGTGAGCAAATTGGAAAAGGACACTAAAAAGCTTGAAGAACCCAAGCAAGAATTGGTCTGATAAGTTGCTTTCCTATGCCTTTTCTTGTGTCGCGTGGGACGGGCTTGGCTGGCCTTGGTTTTGGCTTCACCTTCTCCAAGCACGACATATTTTTCTGACACAGTGTGCATGGGCATGACACACAGTTTGACTTGGCTGGTTTGGCGTGGGTTTGGATGGGGTTTTTAAGCAAGCTGGAGGGGCGAAGATGGTGAAGGGCACCGCTTGCTTCTTTCGGTCGGGCAAAGTTTTGCAGCGCACGGCAATTGGAATTCAAGCAAAGTGGGCCCCAACAGGGCAAGGGAGGAGTCAGCTTGTACTCCAGGTGAGCAGGGTTGCCACGGTCTGCGCACATGTTGGTGAACCCTGGCCCAGTCATCCCCCGAAATATTTTTGATGGCCTGTTTTGCCTGCCGTACTTGTCGTGGTGGTGTTTCTTGGAAGTGCAGTCTTGCTGCTGGTGTTGTGGTGGCACACCACGATAGTGATAGCTTCCAGTGTCACTACTGTTTTTCTCATTGCGATGGTGTGCCCACAGCGGACGGTTTCGGGGTGTACGGGTCTGCGAGCGGAAAAAGACCAGGAGAAACCGCATTTTTTGAACAATCAGTATATTCTGGTCTATCACTGGCCATCCCATCCACCCCATCCCCAAAGACCATCATGAAGCCAACGTTCCGAAGCTTCCTTGCTCGCTCGCAGTCGCTTGATGGCGCGCGGACTGCTACAGGTTCGGAGTGCCTTGGAGATGTTTCAGGACAGCCCTGGCTGCTCCTCCCAGAACGTGTTCTTCTACATGTGCTTTTTTGCGAACAACCAGTACAGGATGATCGTAGAGAATTCCAGCAACGGCAGCGACAACCTGGAAGACGTTTTTGAGAGCAATTTGAAGCGCATCGGGCGCATGGTCGCTATTTTGGATACATGGGATCAACCTGTGTATCTGAGTCGTGTATGGACGGTCTACGAGCAGTTTGTTGCCTCCACCCTTCAGATTGAGGTGCGGAAATATCAATCAACACTTCCCCCAATTTGGTTTTAGTTCTCGGTTAATAGGAAGCTGCGCTGGTTTTGGATGTTTTCCGGCTCGGTGACGTCCAGTTGCATCCCCTTCCAAGCTTCCCCAGGTGCAATTTGTTCTGCCCAAGGACGCCACGGACCATTTGCAGCGTCAGATCGCATGCGGTTCCAAAGGCATTGATGAGGTGATCAAATCCCTTTCTCAGGTGAATTCAGAAAAAGCAGAGGCATGGATGAAGGCGGACGAGAACAAAGTGACACTTGCCCAAAGCGAGACATCGGTTTTTTCGTTTCAATCTCCTTGATGTTTTGTAAATTTAATCCATCTTGGCGGACAACACTGCACATCAGGAAGTCCTTGATCCAGGAGCTCCACTCGGTCTTCCGCACAGTCCGGACATGTGCGGAGAGTCATTGGAAAGCGTATTCGGAACTGCCAAGATTGACCCAGACTTCGGGTGTACACAGACCGCTTCCCGCGCGCGCATGGCGTTCTTGTCAGATACCTGGAACCTGTCCACAAGTTCCAACTTATGCTCAAGATCTGAGCGAAATTCACCTATATATATAGACCTTAGATATGGATGATATGGTCAATTGTCCGTCAATTTACGTCTTCAAGAAACAGCCCGACACGTTGCTCCGAGCATTGTAGAGGCGTCACTGAAACAAATGCTGGTAATTCGAGACTCGTTTGTGTACCCTCAGCTGGCAACCCCATGCTGATATCCTGGATACATCTTAGAATAGGCAAGTAAGATGTCATTCTGCCTTTCCACCCCCAGCAACATCAGGAAAACGTACTTGTACTCGAAAGTATGCTGTAGCCTTACTGTGTTCTCTGAGCTGTGTCTCCTTCAGGACAGTGTCGGCTTCCACCATGTCGACGCTCATGTGACAGACGTTATGATCGCATGGATTGGAGATGTCATGGAAAAGACGTGCAAGCAGTTGCTCACTTGACACAGTGAAGCTCCTGTTGGAATGATAAGGACAATGCTGCCAACCACTGCACATGATGTGTTTCACACAGCCGCAGACAGCACTGCATGTCATGCACATAATGTGCTCACTGGGTTCTACTCTTGGACAATGGTAGAATGACCAGGTCGAGTAGGTCTCCTCTCCTCTCCTTGGTGCCAAGGTTGCTGACCAAGGCGCGGTCCGAGGCCCTCCAGACCAAGGGCGGTCAGGCGAGCGGGAGGAGGGAGTTGTTCGGAGTCCGACACCGGCGAACCGG